TGACACTGTGAAGAAGATTTGGGTAAAGAGTTTGAGAAAAATAAAGACCTACTAGACATTTTCTAAAGGTGTTCCTCATCTCAGATGAATCTCTAAAGATCAACGGTCCAAACACACTTGTTACTTAACCGAACAGAATAGACAGCTAAGCGGTAGTAATGTAACCTAGCCGTTAGCCATCGACCTAAACTTTTCCGATATGTCAGTGATCGCTGGCATTGACGAGAAGCTTTGGAACGAGCTAAGATCTCTGCAATGGAGAACCTACAAAAAGCAAAAAAAAAAAAAATATTAACTCGAGCTAAACTTATAAACGATGTAGATGAAAAAAACGTTATTTGAGACACAGTTCTGCTTCACTGAATAGCTTAATTCACACCACTAAGAAAAGCACGGTCAACCAAGCACACTATGCAAATCTATTATTCAATACATTTCCGTTTCCAAGTTTTACATCCGGTACTGCCCACAGCGGATTTAAACTAGCATCTAGGCTAGTCCGTAAATGCTTATTCGGGCTCCATAAGTGTTTTACCAGCCGTTTCCTTGCTAGTTAGGCCTCGAACGGTCAACAAATCGTAGCTCCGGGGGCAACGTGCCTTGACCAGAAAAAAAAATATATATATATTATATATTTTTCCTCATTAGCACCAGAAATCGGTGAAAAATAGTTACTATCGGCTTGGAGAAAGTCCCTCAATACATTGAGAATCTTTTTTTAGAACAGCTGAAGCAGTAGGAACAAAAAACTAAGTAAAGAAAATCGAAGAGTTAAGTTTCAAACCGTTAAGCGATTTTTGCCTCACCCTGTACATCTGTGTTCCTTTAAACAAAGCAGCAATTATCCTCTGCATGTCTTCGACGGTCTTCATATTCCGTCTTTGCCTCCTCAACAAAATCTTCACTGGCAGGCTCAGCTTCGGTATCTGATGATTATATCGCCAATGAACCATTATCTTCCGCGCAATATTTCTTTCGCGTTTTTGGTCTCGTCGCGTTCTCCTTCACCGCCAGCGCTTCTCCGCAGCCAAAACTTACGAGCGTTATTAGCGACGCTAAGCGTGGTGGTCCCAGCACTGATAATAGAAGTGGTGGCGTCGATAGAGGCAGATTTATTACTGGTCGAAACCCACTCTCGGAAAGACGAAGCTCATTTTTCGTGTCGTTTAAGCGGAACGTGACTAGTGACGCTAAGAACATGGCCAATCCGCCGATGAGTAAGTAAAAGCAGTTACTTCGTTTATTCGCACGGCACAGAGTCACGCACACACATGCCACTGTAGATTCATCTACGAATGGATCGATCGCTAGTAAATAGATTATACGATGCCACCGGTCACTACGACCACTTCTGCTCGTTCCATGATAGCGGCCACAAAATTCCTATTCGTGCTGTTACCGCACCTATACGAAGTCACAGCGCTATCTTCCTGTTCGTTGCTCTGCTTTCCTCTATATTGAACACGGTAAGTAAATAGAGCCAATATAGACGCTCCTTCTAAAGGCAGCGAATGCAAAGTGGTACGTCCATTTGCACTGACTTACTTGTTCCTAGCCGGTTCTACCAGCAGCGTTTGTTCCTGCTTTTGGTAGGAACTCGACTAAAATTCACCTGAAATCCGTAGTAGATTTAGTAGGAGTCCAGCGATCGATTTGTGACGCTGCTAATTGCCGACGGAGTAGCTTTGCCGTAGTCGGTGAACAGTTTCTGATAATGGACAGAACAGCGGCTTTTAATGGCCGAAATGCTTCTATCTTAAGCTGTCACAATTAAGCGGGCTCAGCCTCTCCGCAGCTCTCCATAGCTCTTCAAAAGGTGTGGGGTTTCGCAAAGCTATGCGAGCACGATTTCCCTGCCAGCGCCGCTGTCATCGCGGATGATGCTATGCGCTTCCGAAGTATTCAGGCATGACGATTTTGTTTTGTTTGCGATTCATTCCTTCATCGTCATTGTGCGCTCTTTCCCTTAGTTCGTCTCGTTCATTCTTATTGTAAACCGCGTTTGGAACGGCTGAGGGGCCACAGGAAATGGTTCCCGTTATCCGTTGGAAAACCTTTTCCGTGTTATTGATGGAAGATGGTTACGGCAATACGACTTGCGCAGAAAGACAACATCGACGACGGCAAAGGATTAGTAACGCTCGTTTTGGTACCTGTCCTTATTGCCTAAATAGGCAAACAGCTCGCCAGCTAGCCAAACAAGCGGAAAGGACACAACAGAGGGTAGAGAAAGCCTTGCAAAGGATATAACAACCGCATAGATTCGATAGAAGGTCAGCGGCAGCTAAACAATGAACTTAAGTTTACTACAAGCATTATGACGTGACAGAACGCTTCGATGAAGAAGTCCTTTCAAACTTTGAACTCTGTTGATACGCAAGTGTTTGACTATTTAAGAAAAGCCAGCAAGGCACGTAAGTATAGATGCACGGAATGTCAGGGTGGCGTAGAAGCAAAGATAACGGAATATGCATTACTTGAATGTAACAAGGGACATACGACAGGCGCATATTCCTGACACTGCAGGGAACACGAAGTCAGAGAGATCACTACGCCAGCGTTCGCACGCAGTCGGTCTTGGTGGGTCTGATACTTGAAACATCTGATAAGCTAGTCTTCGTTTTTCCCCTCCGCGAACCTGGGTGGTGTGTGACACGACCATCATACAGGAAAACGCTACTGTAAAATGGGTCGAGATACCTATTACCGCTCCATACCAACAAACCAAACAGGCAAGAAACATACAGCTAGATACGCAGAAATAATGTCACCACGGTTGGTACCATGGCGGAAAACGTCAAATGCCCCCGAGGGCAGCAGCCGTTTACAGCTACAGAGGTTACAATGGCGAGACCAGGCACACCGAGAAATTGCTGTACAACAGCAGCAGTAGCAGGAGGTGACGAAGTCAGTCAAAACATGAAAACCTGTCGAAGGCTTCGAAGTCGATCCCACTTCGACTTGATGTCAAGAGGATTCGTGATCGGTATTAATTGCGAAGCTATTAATAAAGCTTTTGGCTTACGTCGGTCAAAACGCCTACGAACCCTGCTGTACTTAATAACAATCCGCGTGCGAATAAGCAGATGAAGCAAAAACCGTCTCTGGTCAGATTACAACAGCAATGACAGCACAAAAATGATGACAACGGAAATCATTGACATGATGACGGCAATAACTACGATGACGTAGTGACGGTAAACGTCAGAATAACGGAAATGTTCGCTGGACTTGATCTCATGGCGACGTTAATGGTGGTGGCCGTCATTGTTCCAAATAGAAAATAGGGATTCTTGTTTTGGATATGCCAAGATTAGTCCCGATACCAGAAACTGTTACGGCAGTAAAAGAAGTAAGTAAAAGCCGCTCAAAGTGACCATGTCGGCAGTCAGTCGGAGTGGAAAAGATACTGGCTCTGTTGCTAGAGTATGTCGGTGAAAGAAGCAGATATTTGTTACTGCATTGGCAGCAGTGATACAGGCCAGTGCAAGTGAGACCGAAACGGGGCGAGGATGGTGGTGCCATCGTGTATCATGGAGAGATGGCAGGCGAGCCATGTGAAACATAGAACGGTTTTACGCAGCGAATGATCGGTCCGCTGAGATGTACGAGCGCTAAAAGGGAAGCAGTAAGAAAAGTTCAGTCCACTTCTTCGTCGCGGATACAAAGTTAACTTTTGTTCTGCTGAGATCTAGCTAAATTGCCAGGGAGATAGCTCGCCTATTATATGGCGTCTCTGTTACTGCATGAACCGACTTGTGAGAGTGAGTCGATAATGGCACACTTAGTTCTTGCTTTTGGCCGATGATGTCGACGCCATCAGTCGAATGTGGTTTTTGCGAATGGCTAGAAAAGTTGTGTGTGTTAAGGTAGATTTGAGTAAAGTTTATTTCCGCGTGACACGCGGAGAAAAATTCTATTAGCTAGATCAATGTCAATGATGCAAGTGAAAATGAAAAAAACGTGTGCCGTAACTTTTACGACAGCAAATTCAAGCCTAGGTATGTGCCTGCGGCCTGACGTCTTCGAAGTGAGGATTTGTTCCTGCATATGGGTGAACGGATTACGAAAAGAAACATGTTTATTACACGAACGTAGAACCTTTTCGCGTCAACGAAACACATGCACTTTGAGTCAACATGTCGATTTATATAGATGTCGATGTCAAATATAGATACGGTTGAGAGTTGGTTGTAATCACAAGATTTACAAAGGGCCACAAATTTTTTGAACATGATTTAAGCGTCTGAACAGATATGTCCGATAGGCAGACAGTGAACGTAAAAATATGAAAAAAAAACATCAAGTTCGTTAATATAAGTTTCGAAATTTAGTTCAGTTACTTCGTCATTTTATTACTATTAATTATGACCATCAGGTCTGACGAGTTGCTTGTTTGGCAACACTGAATTTGCCTAATTTTCCGCACGTACTAATGCCGTTCTATGACGGATGTCAATTATGAAGATTCCTTCTCATATAATTAACTTATTGAACAGTTTATGTTTTTACAATTGATTCCCGCACAGAATCTGGCCAGCATCAACGTACCCGTTCCAGTGTGTTTGAAAAACACAGACATGGTGGTCTGTGTCTAAGCCCGAGCGTAGACACACCTGGTCTCGTGCTGCCAGCCGGCCATTTAACTGAACTTACGTACGACCGAAATGCATATAAACTTAACATGTATTCAACTTAGTAAATAAGTTGATTTTTACAATGAATTAATTAAGAAAGAAAAATATATTTAAAAAAAAAAAAACTATTAAGGTATGTTAACATTCAAATGATCAAATACTCAAACATCAGTAATTCAAATGACAAACAAGAATACCTTCATAAGATATCTATTCGATGACATTGAGGTGCAAAAACAGAAATTTTCGACGGTCAGCGTATTGTGTACCAAGGTTTCTGCATTTTGTCACTTTTCAATTTCATTAGTCAGTACTAAGTCTATCGAGCTAAGAACGAACATCTAGATAAACGAACAGGATAAATTAGTAAGAAGGTGCTGCCATTTTATTATTTGTATAACGTGACTGACAAAAATGAAATTTATTCATAATGTCAATATGATACTTTCCTTTTATACAGTATTTACAAGTTATCCATCACATGGTAAGTATTGCTATTTATCGCCGACGTCTTATGCTCTTTGTCTGCTAAACGGTTAAGGGTTTATTCGTTAGTGTCGGTGCCCTAGGACAATACTTTGGCCTCCTTTAAAGGACGTTACACCCAACACGTTCGGTGAACGACATCCGATTCTAGCTATTTACTTGAATTGCATATGCTTATCGACGTATAGCATTTTGTCTGTATCGGTATCACTTTGGCTACCAGCTTATTTAGGGGAACTAGCTCCCCCTGGGGGCTTTATTAAGCGTCCATTTCGTGTCGATCGGATCAAGCGTGGATGCATACCGGTACTTTACCGCCGCTAACCATAGAGACAAAGTCGCATTTCCGCCAAACATTAGTCATTTGAAGTCGGAAGCTCCTTGGCTAAAGACAGATCAAAGGAAAATATAGAACTTTATCGTTGTTTGCAGGAAATATAGAAAGGTATATAACAACGGCTTCTTCTTCAGCAGATATGATCTAAACTCTCACTTTTGCTGTGCTTGTCTAAGTTCATAAACAGTGTGGGAATTAAGTCGCCTTATGAACTGCGGAATGTATAATCCAACTCTCTACTTAAGGTTCATGACCTCATCGCCGAACCGATCAGGATGTTTCCCTGAGGTAAACTATAGCTGCAGCGGCTGAAATCCGTCAAATCCGATAATTTTTATCGTACTGGTTGTCTCCGGATTTAACTCAACCTACAGAGATCCGGCGGTGCGTATCACGTTCATGACGAGCCTCACACAATTGTGCTGTAGCATCGTAGCATGTCCTCGAATTAAAAATGTCATTTTCTGCAGTGGCAAATTGACCCATGTGTCTAGGACGCTATTCTGATCGCTACCCGGCCGGTGAAACACGCGACCAACGGAACATGCGAACATCAGCTATAACGTTAGATATATTACAATGATAACTTCTTATCGAAGCCAATTACCCTTCTTCTTGTTATCCAAATTTGTTTTGCTTATCGCCTGGTAATAGCCGATACAATTGACGGAGCCACCGAAAATGCGCGAGTTTAAGCTGTTCTTTAAAATGAGCTCTTTCTTGCTCTTATAACTAATTAGGGTTTGCATTTTTTTCCCATGTTTCACTGTTCATAATTCTATACTACGAATATCATTTTTAATGAAGGTCGTCGTCATCATCATCGGCAGGACGGATCTCTTGTGTTGTTTGGCTATCTATCTAGCAGATTCCTAAGTTCATCTCTTGACTTTTGTCCTGTTAGGCTTCGAATATTGACACATTGTCTCCTCTATTTTTAGAGTGTGTTTTTGTTGCCGATCGCCACCAGCTCCAAAACTTATCTAGCTACGTTGTGTTTTTATCTCCTTCCGAATGGTCTGTTGGCAACAAAAATCCCGCTTAATATATCACATTGGTTAAATCGATCCTCATATATATATATATATATATATATATATTGGGTCCCGTTGTATTTTAAAGAAATTAAGCCGAGAAACTTTTAGGAATTGTACAACAAGGATACATTCGGCACAGTGGACCCTATCAAATGAGAAGAAATAACCATCTTGTACATAGATATATATCTGATTCATCTTCGGCCGTTTATCTAAGTGCCGGTCGGTGTACCTGTGCATGTGTGTACCTACTGCATCCAACAGTATCTGCACCGTTTTGATGGCTGGAAGTTCTATAATAAATTCGACGCCTTCTCCTGATGTTATCCATACATTAAACTCGTTTTCTTAGCCAAGTTGGCAAAGGCGAGAGAGCAAAGCATCAACCGACAATCAATGAATACCGGCAACACTTTAAGAGGTAATACAGAAAATATGTCGAAAGAAAGAGAACACCCGAAGCTAACCGCTGTGGAAAGAAAACACTCGATCGTTCGATGAATTCAACACATTTTCGAAAACAGCAGAAACTGCAGTGTCCGGTACTGCAGCGTAAATTGATTTGATTGTAAATTATTCTGTTCCGCGTGTACTATCCACTCGTGATGCTGTGGCATAATGCTGTCGCTTTTACATGTAGATGTTGGTGCCATTTGTCTACAGTCGTCGAACTACAATAATGGCTGAACTCAACGTGTTAATTTCAGTTATAGTACTAATCTTGAAAATTAGCAAGTGAAATTTTCTAAAAATAATACTTTGTCATTGTTTTCTTTGATTGTGTCAATCTCTGGTACCCTTGACTGTGTTGCTGATTTTAGCTTCGCATGGGTCTCAGTCATAAGTTGTCGCTTCGGGCAGCGCTAAATTTTATCCATTATTGTCACATCATTGTTACAGTCGCCGCTATTATTATCCATCACTGTGATAAGAAACATAGTCAGTACGTATTTTTATATACTCGGGCCAGAATTACAAATGAACTGTTTCTACAAAAACGCTTGCGTGGCAATCGCAGGACCAGTTATACTACTGATCGCAGATCAGTGTCCTTTCATCGGCTGTTTTTCCATCTTCAGCGTTTTTCGTGGCCTGATGTCGATGTTGTTGTTGTCCTTAACTTGTTCGTTATTGTTGATACGGTTACAACTATCAGAAGTCGTTTGTAACACGGCCGCATCGGCAACGCCGTTAACTTCGCTAAACATCACGTTCGGGTCCTTGCGGTACGTCTTTTTACTGTAGGATTGAATATAGAAGTTGACGAACAAACCGAGAATCAGAATGACCTGGGGAATGATCAGCATCAGCAGTACGCGCGGGTAGCCACATTCAGCGAATACGGGAATCAGCGTGTGCGCGAGCATCACGAAAAATTGGAAGATCTGTATACGGGTTAGATATTTTTTCCACCAGAGGTACTTCTGCACTTCAGGTCCCAGTGACGATAAGAAATAGTACGAGTACATTATAACGTGCACGAGGGAGTTGATGCACACACCGAGAACGACCTGGCCGTCGGCACCAAACGTCATAAACTGCCAGCCCGAAAAGACAACGATGGTATGATGAATCACATGCAGCTGTGTGATATGTGAAAACTTCTTCTTCAGCACGAAGAACATCGTATCGAGGAAATCCATTACGCGGATGAGCAGATAATAGTAGAGGTTATTGAGGAGTTCCATTGAATGGTAGTCATTGGCGTAGCTTAAGCCTTGGCAATAGAACGAGTAGCCGGACTTGATGAACGCGTGGTAGAAAATCTTTGAACAGAAATACATATTGGCGACGACCTGGAAGACGTTATACATTCGAATAGTACGACGCAGATCGTAGGCTTTACGATCGGCCATATAGCGGGGGCCGGCAATCTTCGAGATGTACAGATAGAGTCCTATTGTGAGAATGATGTATTTTGGGTCTTTGACCGTTACCCAGTCAGCGGTGCGCGGGTCGCGCAGGTCCATCAGCTTTGTCCATAGTGTCACGGGGTTCGTAGGAATAGTATTTTTCTCTGGGGGTATCATGTTTGTTGATTTAATGACTACTGCAACTGGGAATAAGACGACGCTTTCCAACACCAGTAGACGGTTGCTTTAGTTGTTCTGTAGGTGTATCCCTTCGAGTTCCAGTCCAACACCAGCGCTCGTCCGTTGCTGATTTTTCCTTTTTCGAACGATTGCTTAGTAGCTTTTACTTGACAACTGTTATGCAGTGCATTTGCGGACACCTAGAAACTCAAACTGTTTTAAATCTCTGTCAGGGTTTTCTCGGTATTGTACTGCCACTCACGCCGTGTTACACTGCGGCCTCAACGACTACGTGATTTGCCCTTGCCAATTCGTGTACGGCCGAACGGCCGACTTCTGCGTAATCACTGCTGTCAAAGTCAGCCACTTTCAGCTGCGGCGCGTGGCGTTTGTTTAGCGCTCGAACGCTGGATTCAATTTGTGCTCCACTAGCTTCGACGACCCGCCCTACTACGTGGCCTACACGATTAGGATAATCTTAGTCTCTGTTCTAATGGGTCCCTATAAAAAAACATTTGAAGAAGGTTTTATCTGAAACTTCACTAGTGAAGAGTGAGGGCAGCGTATAGTCTGGAAAGGGAACCGCGGCCGTAGCGATGCTTGCACCCAAACTATCTAACTAGCCAACAACACCGCTGCTCTGGCTATCGGCGATAGCGACGTCTTCAAATACTGTTGGACCCTTTGTGTTCAGAAGCAGCGACGTCGGTTCCGATCTAACAGCGACAAACGGCAAACGGCAAACACTGAAAACAGAAAAGGTCAGCCCTACTGCGCCATCGCCACAGAAGAAAGAAGACCTGTTGAGGTCTCTCCTATTTGCCGCGCACCTTGAAAAAGACGGGACAAGATAGTTCTTTTAGCTGCGCGAATCGAAGTAGAAAGCATAGGGCAGATGGCGCGAACTGCCCAGAACGAAAGCAGAGCCAAAAACCACAGCGTAATAATTCTATAGACGGTTTCCGGGGCGCTTACGATCATGCTTATTATTGAGATTATTGATTATAGAATGAGCGGCAGACACAGATGCGGGGTGTAGGGGATCCCTGAAGCGGTCCCTATATACTGAGGTATGTTGAGAAATAAGGCCAGTAACAGTTGAAGTAATGGCTACGGTTGTGAACGTCCTGCACGGTATCGCGAGCAGATCAATAAAAAAAAATAAGTAACAACGAAAATGGTACTATCCACGGAGCCGTAGGTGCTGGTTTTAGGTATTTCAGCGAGCGAAGGAACTATGTATAAACTTATTGCCAGCACTGTGTTTGCTTGTTAGTCAACAAGATTTTTTTCCAAAATGCCACAGACGAAGTAAGCTAGCTGTCGAAGTCCGATTGCTTCGCCTCCGCAGTGATACAGGTGACACGAATTTGGCTCAGGATTAGACCCTTCTCGTGTTGGGCAGCGAGCAGACTTTTAGACCTGGCGTGGTTTCTGTAGCTTGGACCATACAAACTAAGGTTGTCATGCATTTAAAGTTATAGCAAGACGTGTCTCCAGAAGGTCAGCAGAGATCTGGTGTGCTTATGATACATAAGTCTTATGAGAGACGAAGGCTACATTAATTGAACTCGAATTTCTATATTCGACTGGTAGATTATTTATCAGCTATCACTTTTGGCGTCGTTCGAAAACCACTCATGAGTCGGCGTTCATATTTACTATAATTCAGACCGGTCATAATTTTGGTGTCTGTTTCGAATTATTATTTCGGGTATTATTTTCGAACAAATCGAAGTGGCACTGCTTTATTTAATTGAAGTATATTCTCTTTGAAAAATTCAACGGCCGCAATCAGGTTTACGACACTTGTAGCTTCGTATATCGGCTCACAAGCTTGGACCATTTCTCCGTCTTCTAAGTTTTACGTTTGAGGCGTACTTTCTTCAGACGTCTGGCCCCTTCCAACACGAAACACACTGCGTCCACGTCGGGTTTCGAACCTAGACCACCACGTGTACCGAAGTTAGATAACCTCACCACTACACCATCTCAGGGACACCCCTTCAACAGGGACGATGTTTGCAGTCGAATCCAGTGAATCTATAGATGTAATTTTCCTAAACGACTTTGAGACATAGCTAAATATCTACCACTGCCATAACTAATTATTGCTGACAGCCTTTCCTTATGGATGGAGCTTGCAAAAACTGACAACCGTCCGCAGACGGAATTACGAGTGCTTTTCATTGTACCTATCGAGCAAGACTCTCTGCTTCTTCGATTAATTACAGCAAAAATACATTCTGGTGTTCACTCAGTTACGCTCACGTAATCCATCCTTTTCGAACGCACCGTAAGCGACTCCGTTAGCACGAGTATTTTATTCGACTGGCAACGTTTTTTCAATGTAAAATCAAGCATCGTCTGCCCGCCGATAGTGATTCTCTGAAATTATCAAGGGTAACAACTGTTTTGATAACGACTGAAATTCGTAAGGCGCAGGAAGTTGTTTTCAGCTGGAAATTTCATCACAACTGGCGCCGTTGTCCAGCGATGTCTCTAATGTGATAGAAGGGTAACTATGGTTTGGTCCTTGATAACTAGCGAGTGATTTCGTCAATGACCTCATTGATGAACTTTATTAAGCGTGCACACTAAACGTCAGTGACATCTGAATCAATAAAAAACGATCTGTCGTTGTCCGGCCGACCTGCCTAAGTCTAGCATGTTTGGAGGCTCCACTGGCGGTACGGTCCCTTCAGTGACGCAATAGTGAAGAGGTCAGAGCCGATTGTTTGGTTTTCGCCGCCTAGACCTTTCCAGAATTGAATGTGTAACATCCCCCGCCACCATTGTCTGCTAAGCAGGATGCAAGGTCTAATAACATTTTTTTTTGTTGCAATAGCTTCTTTCTGTTACTGTAGCTAGGTAATGAATGATTGGCTTCCCCGTCAAGTAGAATGCAGGCATACGTCTGAACGTTGATTCCCTTTTGTAGCATGAATCATGCTCAAATCTCGCTCGCGTAGACTTCCAGAGAGTCCGATGAGCCACACGTAAGGATATCAAAAATGGAAAGCAGAAAAAGTTTATCTTATTAACATGGCTGGTTTAGTATACCATTTTTGCGAGAGCAAGTTTATTAGATATAATAGACAGATCTTAAAAATTGATATAAGATAGTAGAGACATGAATTTTAGATGGTTTCGTTCAGGTTTTTTTGTATACTATAAAGACGAAAAAGGCGAATTGGAGGACATTACACTTCTAGATTATCCATTTTTTATTCAATACAAAAACAACTCTATAAAGGGGAAAACGGTTATTTAAAGATTTGAAGTTTCTAAATAAAGTTTGCTCAAGTTAGAACGTTTTTTTGATTTTGCGAAATACCAGTGTATTACAAAGACGGACAAAATAGGTGAATATTTCTCACGTAAAATGTACCCGTATGATTTGTTAATAGTCCCGCAGATTCGGTGCCGCGACACGCAAGGTGGTCAGGCTAGAATACTCTGATATTCCAGGGTCTCTGATACTATAGGATATATACATAGGCGTAAATAAGCTTTATGGCACTGCTGCAGATTAATATATATATATATATATATATATATATATATATATATATATATATATATATATACACTTAACGATAACTTCAGTGCGAAGAATAGTCATTTGAATAATCTGCTACGCACCAGACTCGATCATGCTAACAGAAGGTCGCTCCGTTGAATTCCATACGGTAGCGACCTGACTTCTATAGGGTGCAGTACTGCCTGTATTACAGCGTAAGTCGTTTAATACATCACACCCATATCGCTTTTAAAGACGATACGACTTCATTGTAGGCCCGATTTCCTTTGACTTCAGACGAACAAGTAGCAATAGACAAGAAGCAAAATACGATTTGTATTTGAATCAAACGTTCCGCACCAATCAACTCATATTCTAAGTTAACTCGTGCCACAATTGACAACTATGGTGCCATTAAGTTGTTTTGGAGTTCTTTAGAAACTTATCAAGGATAATATGTAAAAATAATATACTTGGTCTTGGTGGGCCTCGCCCATTAGGAACCAATGGGCGCGTGAACAAAAAAGGTTTTTACGTACACCTTTGACGTACACCCACCACACGAAATCATTTGGATGTAGAGTTATTATATAATTGTCTACATTTTTGTTTTCCTTTAATAACGAGCATTGTGTGAGATAATGTACGTTGCCGGTAAGTCTTGAGCCTGAAGAATAGTTTTGATTGAACATGAGAAAAGGAAAGCGGATACATGCTTTTGGCTTCACTGTATTACCGTGCTCTTTATAAAAGCAAGGCACGTTACCATAGTAAAGGTCTCTGGTAGGATAGCTGATTATCCAATTTCCATATGGATTACTAGACGATTATATATATACATATATATAACTATATATAAGCATACTTCATCAGGACTTGTATGTAATGACTATTGCGGGACAGTTTTTATACAGGTAAACATTTTCAGGTCTTCTGCCAAATTTAGCGTTTACTTAACGAGCGATCGGTATGAAATTTCTAAGGGCCCCTCGATGCAAGTGACACTCAGTTAAAATGTATGAAATTAACTTCTTTTTATGCTATATCGTGAACTTTATGGCCCGAACATGTCAAGTAATAACGTCACCAACAGAATCAACATTGATTGATCTTCGTATTCGTTTGTCCCATACAAATTGTTTATTAAATGTGTTATGGCTGCCCAACTTGAGATGAGAGTGAATTGATTGATTGAATAACAGTAAACTTCCATATACTACTCGACTATATATTCACGATAATTCTTCAAAATATTCTAAGTATCCTGATGATTGTTAATATTATCATTTGACCACCGCTAAAATCGGGGCGCAGCTGAGACGGCTGTGATGTACATGCCTTTACCCTGCCCACTTTCTCATACCGATAGTCGTTTAGCGTTCAAGTAGTAAGTGACCCATAATAACCAAAGGTATACAGATTAATGTTTTTAAAACATAGGTGTTTCCCAACTAAGCTGAGCGCAGAACGAATACTATTTACTCCTATACTGCATAGATAAAATATCCATGATCTTTCTAACCGTTAAGGATATAGGCATTGGGACATCGTCTCGGTCTGAAATTATGCATCCTCAAATCATTCACGGGTAACAAGTTAAGGGATACTGATAATCTAATAGAGATCCCGGTTTAACAGAGCTTTGAATCTATTGTCCTGTGCCGTAGGCGTGACCGCTTATCATTTCGGTGTTACCCCATATGATGGCCTCCGTCTGTAGATATAACTGTTTGCGTAAATGTATTCTCTATTGGTTGAGCACTATTACGTGCCACTACTGTTCTCCCGTTAATATTATATAGGCATTGATCTAACAACATAGCTGACTGACTGGTGGATCGGCACCAGATAATAACAACAGCCAACAATACAACAACAACGGGAATAGGAGCTCAACAATAAATATCGGAACTACCACTCGTCACCGCTGAGGTGCAGCACCGCCCGAGTGAAGAATGCGTCGACATATGCAGGCGAGGCTGATGGTGCGGGATTAAACCTCGAAAGCTTTATCCATTTGCTTCCATGGCAATTTATACCGGCATAACATTGCTTGGCAGTTAGCAGTGCTCGATTTGTTGACATTACAGGTGGTGCCTTTCACAGCGGTACGTCACGTCCTATTGGGCAGGCCCGCTGAGAATGAATTGAGCGCTAGAGTGTGAAGCCAT